TCCCCAGAGCAAACAGCAGAAGAGTGGATGAAATATTCACTTGAAGAGGAAAAAAAGAGTGAAAAGGGGAGAATCCTGACCTAAGGAACTAGCGGTGCAAAGCCAAGCACACACTCTGGGCCCCCCGAGGAACTGTGGGCAGAGAATGTACCTTTTCAGAAGGAAAACAGAAAGGAGGAAGGACAAAGCCACCCAACTGGCCCCGCCCAGCCTCTCCCCGGAGCCCGGCAAAGGGCCTGGTTCCGTCTTCGGCATCCCTCTGTGCTGCTTGGGTCGAGAGGGGGACTGCCAGATCACAAGGCCTCTGCCTTCCCCAGTGCGGGGTCCTGACCACACCCCCCTACCTCCCCTCTTCCCTTTCACCTGCTGTTGTCCTTGGGGGCTTTCCCAAACAGTAGCTTCTGGAGACAACCAAAAAGATCTCTAATGCAGAAGGTGACCAGGGCGTTGAACACTGCAATGAGGGGACCACAGATACCACTCACAGGACAGAAGACAGAACAGAGACGCTGCATCCCAGGTCCCCTCACCCCAGCTCACCAGCACTGTCCGTGACCTGGAATTTGCTGACTTCAGCACCTTCCTGGTCTCCTTGGGTGGTGAGCACAGCAGCTCGGAATGCCTGCACAACTTCATGGAACAGCTTCGGAGTAAGGTGCTGCTAAATTAGGGATAAGAGGACCCAGAACGTTGGGGAAGCGGTCAGCTGTGTTGGACAGAGCAATAGGCAACCAGAGCTCCAGAAACCTGCTGTGACAGAAAGGTACCCCTCGCCCACATTCTGAGACACGGAGCAGAGGTGGAGGCAGTGTTGCTGAGCCACGTGCAGGGAAAAACAACAAAAAACCAGAGTCCAGAATCTTCCTGGAAGGGCAGGGAGCCTGGCTCAGGGGAGAGGCTGAAGGTCCCAGATCTGGATGGTGGCCTGCACCAGGTGGTTTCTAGGGTTCTCCCTTCTGTCCTTTCCTATCTCTGCAGAAACCAACGTAAAACCCTTGGAGGAAGGGCTCTAGCTCCTGACAAAGGCAGAGACTATGTCCTAACCCACAACAGACTTCAGGGAACAGGGAGCCCGAGAGAGACACTGAGTGGAAGAGAGCAGAAAGAGCCCCTAGAATCTCTGACCGAAGGGGAGAATGCAATCCTGGAGCCTCTTAGCATAAAGGCAGAACCATGCGACATCCTTCACATGAGGGTCTGGTGCAGAAGAGGACCCCAGTGTGGGTGCTCAGAGAAGGGGCTCCTCCCGTCTGCCACAGACCCAGGTAACTAAAATGAGTCAAGGGCAGAGTCCTAAAGGGGTGGGGGGTGTCCAGCTGCCCACACCATGCCACTTCTCACCATTGCTGCCTGCTTCCACCTCTCAACCATGGCTAGGGTCACAGGAGCAGAATCCCTTTTCTTCCCCTTCAGTCCTCTGGGGACCTCATCCTCATCCGAATCTTCCTCCTCCCCACTTGCTTCCTGCACCAGACACAGAGGACCAGGCTGGAGCAGGATGCAGAGGCCCTAAGTGTGCCCCTGCCCCCACCAGCTCTGCCTAAGCCCTCACTTCCAACGTGTCGGGCAGAGTGTGCAGCTGCTCCTCCTCGTCCTCGGTGCTGTCCGAATCACTGAAGTTCAACAAGCTCTGGTCATTCTCCTGCAGGAACTTGTAGAACTCCGGGTCTTTGTCCTTCAGCCGAGAGAGCTGGTCCTTATGCTCAGACGCACGACCTTTACGCCGACTGAGAAGGCAGGGGTCGTCAAGTCCACAGGACAGACATAGCCCACAGGACTGGGGAGTAGGGGACGTGGGGTAAGGCTTCCTGTCCTCCACACTGTAAGCTCGCCAGCCTCCACAGGGAAACTACAGGGCTTGATCTGCTCTCTCCACAATAGCTACCCACAACCAAGGTAGGGGATTTCCAGCAGTAAGTTTTCAGCAGATTTCTCTCTCCCCCAAACTCCACACTCGCACAGCCAACTGCCTCAACACCTGCCATTTCAAACCCACATACAACACTGAACTTGTGGTTTCCCCCAAACTTGCTCTGCCAGCACTCTGCTCCACCTCAGTTGTGGGTAACTCTACCTTTACAGGCACTCAGGTGAAAGACAACCTCTGTCTCTCATACCCAGCATGCAATGTGCCATGAGACCTAATTAGCAAAAGCCCTTCAGAGCCTCTCATGCCTCCTAGTTAAACCAGCACCATCTCGGGGCGCCTGGGTGGCTTGGTCGGTTAAGCGTCCGACTCCGGCTCAGGTCATGATCTCACCGTCCGTGAGTTCGAGCCCCGTGTCAGGCTCTGTGCTGACCGCTCAGAGCCTGAAGCCTGTTTCAGATTCTGTGTCTCCCTCTCTCTCTGCCCCTCCCCTGTTCATGCTCTGTCTCTCTCTGTCTCAAAAATAAATAAACGTTAAAAAAAAAAAATTAAAAAAAAAAAAAAAACCAACACCATCTCTCAATTCTCCCAATTACCACAGTGGTCTCTCCCCATCTCCACACCCACCACCTCCAACCTACTCTCAACACAGCAACCCAAGTGACTCTTGACTTGCATGTCACAGGACGTGACTTCACAGCTCAAAACCCTGAGATGACTTCCCATTTTAGCGCACGTCTTATAAACTGTCTACAAGATCTGACCCCGTTATCATCTCTCCTGGTTCACCTCCTACTACTCTCCCCCTCGCTCCTGCATACACACTCACCTCTGTGTCAGACCCGCTCCCACTTCAGGAGCGTGGCTGTTCCTGCTGCATGAAATACCAAAGCATTCTTCCCGCCTGCGTGGCTTACTCCCCCAAGTCTCTGTCCAACTACCACCTCTTCAAAGGGCCTTCTCCACTAAACACAGCAACAGCTGGTGCCCAACACGCTCCCCATTTCTCTACCCCTTCTATTTTTCCTGTTTGCCGCACTCATTTCTTCTCACATACCACACGTCGTGAATCACCCGAGACTGAGCGAGCTCCTCTACACCAGAAAAGGGCCTATTATTCACCAATGTACGTTTGTCACAGAACAGAACCTCAGCAAACACGGGAAGAAAGAATGGGTGAGGCGAAGGGTCTGGGGAAGGGGTCAGCGATCCTCAGGCCCCAGGACTGGTCAGCATACACGTGACGGGTGGGCCAGGACGGTGAAGAGCGTCTGGCTTTACAGACGTCCCGCGGGAAACGCTCCCCTCACCTGGACGAGGGCCTTCCGCCTGGCTTATCCACACTCCGGTCGGCTTCACACGCCGCCCACGTCTCCGCTTCTGGGGCTCCTTCGGAATCCGATTCAGACTCAGAATCAAAGCCCGAAGCCAAGAACTCGTCCACCGTCAGCTCCGCCAGCCGCCTGCGGGTTACGACATCTGGATCAGGACTCCCTGCCAGGCCGGTCTGCCCCAGCCTTGCTGCACCAGGAACGCGTTTAAGCTCAAGGAGAGCCCCTGTGAATATAAGGTTCCCCTGGAAAGCCGAATCGATCCTCAGAGCCTCAACTTACCGCTTGGTGCCCCGCACCACCGCCATTACTGCCAAACCTCAGCGTGCGCCCGACTTCCGGCTCCAGAATGCCGTGCGTTAGCCGCACTTCCTCCAGGAGGGCCCCGCCCCCAATACCGCCCCTCCGCGCCCCACCGGTGGCTCTAAGTTTCTCCAGCGGTGGCTCCGGAGGCATCCAGGCGGAAGGGCGCATTCACATCCTCCTGGCTCCGGGCTCCCACGGTGGCCGGCGGAATTGGGGCTAATGGCGCAGGCCTGGTTCAGTCATGGGTCCCGCACACATCACTGAGTGAGGGGCTGTAGCTCTCGAAAATCGGGCAGAACTGCATATGATAGAATCCTGACCTGCTGCTCACAAATCTGTGTCCTTCCTGGTTCTAAGAGACAGTAATAGCGGTACCTGTCTGAGGGAAGAGAGGCCGGGACCTGGGGCAACCTCTCCCAGCCCTGCCCGCAGCCTCCCTGGAGCTCCATGGCACGTGCCTGTGAGATGTCAACGCACTGACAGTGGACAAAATGCATCCAGATGGAAACACTTGACAGAGAGGACTTCTATGCAACAAGTTTTTACAAATCAATAATAAAAAGCCAACAACCTAGTAGGAAAAACGGTCTAGTTGAAAAGGCAATGCCTTGGATGGGCAGTTCGCCAAAAAAAAAAACACTGAGGGACAGGCAAGTCTCATCCGGATCAAACGAGGATGAGAGTGATGAGAGTCATTACAATTTCACTGGACAGGCCACATCACGGGGCGGGGCAATGGACAGATCCCAGAGCCCTTACTGACGTCCGTTTGGCCAAATCTTCCTTAAAGTACTGTGCCTGTACTTCAGTCCAGCGAGTCTTCTGCCGGGAACTTGCCTATGACTACACTAGCCCTAGTCCACATACGGGGCTGGGCATGAATGGCCACTTTTCCTCTGCCCTGTCCTGGGTACGGCAAGTACAAAGGCCCAGAGGCTGGAAGTTTGCCTTGCTTGAAGAAGAAAGGCGGTGGAAGGCCAGCTTGTGCCCTCTTTCCCTCCACCCATCTACCTAAAGGCAAGGCTCTGTGGGCCTGGACAGCCAGATCCCATAGCCCTCTTGGGAGCAGTGTGGCTCCTGCCAGGTCCCCCCGGCCATGCACCCCTGTCCTACCACACCCTACCCCGCCCCACCCAGTTCAAGGCCTGGTACTTGTAGGGGTTCATGGAGCGAACTCAGCAAAGGCCAGACAGGCAAAGTGGTCTGCGTGGGGTCACAAAGGGTCAGGGAGGATGTGGTCCTGGGCTGCCTCAGGCCCCAGGGGCAGCAGGGCCTTCCAAGCTTCGGGTCCAGGGTGCTTACAGGGGCGGGGCTTCTTGAATGAATTGGCGGGGATGGGTGATGGTCGGTGAGGCTTCTCCTAGGCAGGCGGCGGGCGGGGCCCAGGGGGCTTCCTGGAGGAGGAGGCAGGCAGAACGCCCAGACATTTGGGAGGATTAGAGTGCCTCCTTCAGTCCCCAAAGACGCGGGCTGCGCGGGAGGCGGAGCGGGCGGCGCCGAGAAACAGCGGCTGCGGGCAGGCGGCGGGACCGAGGGAAGCTGAGCCGGCCGCCACCGCCTAGCAGCCCTCCAGCCGTCAGTGCGTCCGTTCATCTGTGCGTTCTCCGCGGATCGCGGCGGGTCCGGCGGCCGAGACCATGCAGCCGCGCAGCGAGCGCCCGGCTGGCAGGACACAAAGCCCGGAGCACGGCAGTCCGGGGCCCGGGCCGGAGGCGCCGCCGCCGCCACCGCCGCCGCAGCCGCCGGCGTGAGTGGGCCGAGGGTCTGGGGACCGTAAGCCAGACCTGGGGCTGAGTGGGTCCGGGAAGGAGACAAGGAGGGGCGCGCGCCGACCCTGGCAGGCTGCCCGGAGGAGGCGGCCTCTGCGCCCCGCAGACTCGGCCGGCCGGTGGAGGGTACAACTCCTCCTCCGTTTATCGCGCACACAGAGACCTGGGACAGGACGTCCAGAGGTGGCTGCTTCCCGGAGGCTCTGTCCTCTCCCGCCGCCCTTGAATTCCGGCTGCGCTCTTTAGACTCAGGCGGCTTGTCTGCAGGATGCGTGTTGGGGGGGGGGGGGGGAGGGGGGGCGGGGGGAGCCGCTCCGGAGGGTCAAGTGAGGTCAGGCCTGATGGTGGGCATAGGGGTCTTCTTCAGAGCTGTCATACAGCATTAGCCAGTTTCGCTTCATGCACGTCCTGTGTGCCCAGCTCGTGCGGAGGACACTGGACTCATGGGAAACAGGAACGGTGGCCGGTCACAGACAGAAGAGAACCTGGTCCCAAGGAGGGCAGAGGAAGCCTGGTTCTTGGGAGAGTCACAGGCAGAGGGGGTCCTGGTTCTAATGGGTACACCTGGGCAGGGGGGAGCGTGGTGCCAGGAGGGTCCCAGCAGAGGAAGCCGTATAGGCCCGACAGTCGACATCAGGTGCGTGACTGAACCTCACGCTAGGAACAGGGACGGGGCAGTTTTGCTGGACTCCAGGGAGGCTCCCCGTATGTGAGGAAAAGTTGAGGAGGGTGGTCCTTGATGGAAGCCAGGTACGGGCTGCTGGACGGAGGGGTGACCTCCTGGGCGTCCTGGCCCTGCCCGAGGTTTCAGGGGTGGGTGGACAACTCCCTGCAGAGTGCACCCTGACCTGGCACTACCCACCTGCAGCCCAGAGGCAGAGCGTGCGCGTCCTCGGCAGGCCCGGCCCACGGCCCCCATGGAGGGTGCAATGCAGCTGCTGAGCCGTGAGGGCCACACTGTGTCCCACAACTCCAAACGGCACTATCACGACGCCTTCGTGGCCATGAGCCGCATGCGGCAGCGTGGCCTCCTGTGTGACATCGTCTTGCACGTGGCAGCCAAGGAGATCCGAGCACACAAGGTGGTGCTAGCCTCCTGCAGCCCCTACTTCCACGCCATGTTCACAAGCAAGTACCACCACATCCAGTCTGGGCACTTGGGGGGCTCCGCAGATCTCACAGGGCAGGGACCGGCCTGACCCGCTGTCCCCACAGATGAGATGAGTGAGAGCCGCCAGACGCACGTGACGCTGCACGACATTGACCCTCAGGCCTTGGACCAGCTGGTGCAGTTTGCATACACTGCCGAGATCGTCGTGGGCGAGGGCAACGTACAGGTGAGGGGGCCTCATCTCACAACCCACGGCACCTCTCCTGGGCCTCGTGCCTCAGCTCCCGGTGTCTTCTCGTGCCTCTCCCTGTCCCTCAGTGCCTCACGTCCCGTTTCTCCGTCCCTCTTCCCCTGGCTCTCTCTCATCTCACCCCACAGACTCTGCTCCCAGCTGCCAGCCTCCTGCAGCTGAATGGCGTCCGTGACGCCTGCTGCAAGTTCCTGCTGAGTCAGCTCGACCCCTCCAACTGCCTGGGCATCCGGGGCTTTGCTGACACACATTCCTGCGGTGACCTGCTCAAGGCAGCACACAGGTACGTGCTGCAGCACTTCGTGGATGTGGCCAAGACTGAGGAGTTCATGCTGTTGCCACTAAAGCAGGTAACGTGCCAGCTGGCATACAGCCTCGACCCTGACCCAGTCCCTAGACCCTGGACCCCAGACCCCGTCCTTAGACCCCTGGCTCCCTTCATCTTGGCCCTTAGGCCCTGGCCCTTTGCCCCCCTCCCCCCGCCCCCAACCCTTATTCCCAACCTCTGACCCACGCTCCAGGCTCACGACCCATCCCCTGACCAAGCCCCACAACCTCATCCCCATTTTCTGACCCACCTAAGCGTTCAACCTTTGACTTCTGATCCCATCCTGCCCTGACCGCATCCCTGCCTACAACCTCTAGTCCCTGGTTCCACGTCCCCAGGACTGCTCTGGGCCTAGGTCCCCAGGAACCAAATCTGTGGCTCCTGACCTTGCTTGGCCCCTTCTCATAGGAACTCTGGGCTCCCTATCAGACTCTCCCTCCCAGGCACCTTCAGGGCTCCATGGGCCCCCAAGACCCTCCCCAGATCTCAGGTCTGAGGGTCCCCACCTCCAGGTGCTGGAACTGGTCTCCAGCGACAGCCTGAACGTGCCTTCGGAGGAGGACGTCTACCGTGCCGTCCTGAGCTGGGTCAAGCATGACGTGGACTCTCGGAGACAGCATGTCCCAAGGGTGAGGCCAGCGCCTGGGGGGGGCCCAGTGTACCCGGGAGGGGCTGCACAGTGGCTGAGGGCCTGGGTGCACCTGGGCTCTGCCGTGTCCAGAGACCCTTCACAGGAGTGATGCAGGCACGTGTTTCAGGAAGGGTCCAGGGTGTCTGAGAGTGAGTCTCTTCACTGGGGCCTGCCCCCTGACCATGGCACCCCTGCACCCCCCAGCTGATGAAGTGTGTGCGCCTGCCCCTGCTGAGCCGGGACTTCCTGCTGGGCCATGTGGATGCCGAGAGCCTGGTGAGGCACCACCCTGACTGCAAGGACCTGCTCATTGAGGCCCTCAAGTTCCACCTGCTGCCTGAGCAGAGGGGCGTTCTGGGCACCAGCCGTACGCGGCCCCGGCGCTGTGAGGGCGCTGGCCCTGTGCTCTTTGCTGTGGGTATGTTCACCTATCGTGTCCCCTGGTTTCCAGGCCCCCCACATCACCTCCTTCTCCCCTCCCATCCCTGACCTATGCCCTCTATCTGTAAGCCAGCGCAAGCCTACCCCACGTTATATTGGTCACATCCTGCACCCACCCCACGCCGGCTCCTCTTGTCAGCCTGCGGAGGACCCCGAGTGGTGTGACCCGCTCACCAATCCCCACCCCCACCCACCCTTCGAGCCCCCATACTCTTGACCTTGACCTATGCTAGAGACCCCCAGCCCATTGCCTCCCTGGGGCCCCTTGTCCTGCCCTGTCACCTCCCCATCCCTAGGTGGAGGGAGCCTGTTCGCCATCCACGGGGACTGTGAAGCATACGACACACGCACTGACCGCTGGCACGTGGTGGCCTCCATGTCCACGCGCCGGGCCCGGGTGGGCGTGGCAGCAGTTGGGAACCGGCTGTATGCCGTGGGTGGGTAAGTGCGGAGGCTGGTCTGGGGTCAGGGGCTCAGCATATACCCGCTGGGCCAATCCTGACCGGCAACGGACCCCTCCCCTAGTTACGATGGGACTTCAGACCTGGCCACCGTAGAGTCGTACGACCCCGTGACCAACACCTGGCAGCCTGAGGTGTCCATGGGCACAAGGCGCAGCTGCCTGGGTGTGGCCGCCCTGCATGGGCTCCTGTATGCAGCTGGTGGCTACGATGGGGCCTCCTGCCTCAACAGGTAGTGGCCGGGGTCAGGGCCGGGTGGCCTCTTGGGGTTGGTTTGGCTGTAGGTGTGGCTGCATCAGGATTGCAGAAGTCATGCCTGAGGGGAGCAAAGAGGGATCCCACCTGACTCGAGTCACCCGGTGCCCTGGGCTTCTCCATCTGCACCAGCCCAGCTGCCCTTTCTTTTCCTCTCAAGTTCTTCCCAGCAGCCCGGGGGCTGGGCCCATGTGGACACTTGCCCAGGGTCTTTCAGGCAGCCAGCCAGTGGCTCATGCCCACCCAGAAGGCCTGTTTCTTGCTGCAGTGGGATTCTGGGGTCAGTCTCTGTGACTGCCCAGCATGGGACTGTAGTCATTCCATAGGGGAGGGCAGGTCCTGGAACCAGGGCAGCCTTTCTGCCACTGCTCAAGGTCAGTAGCAGACCTGGTGTCCACAGTGCTGAGCGCTATGACCCTCTGACGGGAACATGGACGTCCATCGCTGCCATGAGCACCCGGAGGCGATACGTGCGTGTGGCCATGCTTGGTGGGTGACAGAGCCTGCTTTGTGTAGTGCCCACACCCCCACCCCTACCTGC